CCGCCCTCCCCCCCCCCCCCCCCCCCCCCCCCCACACCCCCCCCCCCCCCCCCCCCCCCCCCCCCCCCCCCCCCCCCCCCCCCCCCCCCCCCACCCTGCCAGCAATTGAATACTAACACAGCCTGCGCAATAACGTCTTGGCATAGGGGTCTCAACCGACTAACTGACTAACTGACTAACTGACTGAGCCGCATTCGCTTTTCTGCTTCTAAACACACCATTCTTTCCTGTACCAATACGTTTTTGAAACCTCCCCCAAAAAACAAGGGGTTATTTCAAAAAGGGAAATACGACAGAAAAGACAGAAGATCAGAGAGGGGAGAACAATACGAGATAGAATAGGATAGGATAGAATAGGATAGGAACTCGTTGATGCTATAAATAAAAAAAAAGTGCACAACCCCGCAAATCTCATGTATGTAAGTAGGAAAAAACTGTCTCAAAACGCGTCGATCCCACGATGTGAGTAAGTATAGTAGAATCTTCCCTGACACACCTACCCACCCTCTTCCCGCTCAGAAAGACGGCGACTAAAAAAAGAGTTTGTTCACAAGGAAGGCCTGTCCTGCCTGTCTATCTATCTGTCTATATCCCATCCCATCCTAGAAATAGCACCAGAGCAACAAAATAGTACATACATACCTACATCTAGGGGACAAAAGCGCGGGGTAGTTAGTCAGTCAGTCTGCCTACCTAGTTAGAAAAGTCAAAAAGTCCGTGTGTCTTGTTTATCTGAGGGCGCGCGGCGCAGCAGAGCAAGCAAGCAAGCCAGGTCAGGCCAGGCCAGGCAAGGGGCCCTTGAAGCAAGATGCCAGTCATCGTGCATATGTGGCTCGTCTCCTCCAATAGGGGTTCCGAATGGACGAACTAGGTAGGTAGCTGGCTGTCTCTGTCTGGTTTGGCTGCTTGCTTGCTTGCTTGCTACTCACTGAAAATACCTGACTGACTAGATATACCCAGACCATTTTCCCTACCAGATTGGCTTTATCTGCCCCAGATGCGACCTAACTTACATGTACGGTAATATATGTGTTATTCGTATCCTGAGCTTCACGGATCGGGGTTTACACAGCCGAACAGCAAGAAGGTTTCGCCCGACCGTGTTCCGTTTCTGGAGAAAGAAAACCCCCTGGGCAAAAAAACAGAGGAAAAAAAGCCAAGCTAAGACCGGGGTGTGAGTGAGACGGGTGTGGGTTTGCCGCAAGTTCCATGTTTTGCACCACTTAGGTATTTACTCGAACTCGCTCGCTCGCTTGCTCGTTCAGTGTTTTTTTTCGCTGCCAAAAAAGCAAAAGGGTAGGTAAGTAAGTACTTAGTAACTAACGAAGGTATGTAAGAGGTAGGTAGGTAACAGAATACAGCCGAGAAGAAAAGAAGAAAGAGTTTGATGGGTCGGTCGCACGGTGGCTTCGTCGCATCCTAGATGGGACCCCTTCACGGACGGAACAATCGTTGTCTGTCTGTCTGTCTTTGGCCATTGTTGTTGTTATGGTCAAGTTACTTATGTACTTACTTACTTGCTTGGTTGGTTGCTTACCTACTGTTAGGGACTTCTGCTTTTACGTACGCCACATCTGCATCGACCAAGTAAGATTTCCCCATGGTGAGTGAGTCTACACAGTATCGGTTGGCAGGCAGAACATCTGTCTGTCTGTCTGTCTGTCTGTCTGTGGAGTGGCTTGCAGAGGATATGACTCGTCAGAAAAAATCTCCTAGGGGAGACGGAGAGGAAGAAAGAGTCCTACTGGGGTTGGTTTGCACGGTGCTTGCTTTGTGTACCTTCTGGCCTGTTTCGGCAGCCGTTGAGGGTTAGTCAGTCAAGTCAGCGTGGGAGTGCAGAGTCGCAATGCAGAGCCTTCTTCTCCTTCGGTGGGAATTGTAGCATTGGCTAATGCTCGGTTCATCCCGAGGTAGTTCTCGAGAACGCCCAAGCGCCTCGTCTCGTCTCGTCTTGTCTTGTCTTGTCTTGTCTTGTCTCTTCTCCCCTCCTCATACACCCCCCCACGTACGGTAATCAGCTAGACGGTAGGTGCATTACAGCCTGTACACAAGAACCAACTTTGGTAAAATATGCCTTTCTCTCTTTCGGATTCTTTCGCAATCATCTCTGCCGATCTGAGCGGGACCCCATAACGGCAAGGGAAAATTTGGTTGGGCTATATTGTCGAATCTGGACCGAATGCTGGCGGCGGCGGACGAATCACAATCGGCCCTGTCAGCCGTCTGGCGCGCGGATAAGTTAGGCGAGAGAGGGGGTGGGAAGAAAGTTGAGTAAGATATGCGTAAAAGCAAAACAACAATAATAAACAGAAGACCCATGCTCCCAAAAGATGCAGTTTATCCCTGCAAAATAGTCTCCAAATCCCACTTTGTTGCGCGCTCGATACTTCCTGACACGGTAAAGGGTGTCCGTCCCACCTTTCGGTATCATGAAAAAAGAAGGGGAGGGGGGTTTTTCCCGCGCGATGTTCTGTCTCCGACTCACGTCTACTCCTGTCCGATCTCGAGGCGGATTGGCCAGGTTAGCGGCTGGGGAAGCTGGGGGGGGGGGTGTGGCCGTCCAGTCAGTGAAGAGTCCAGTCCTGCACGATAAGGGGAGTCAAGTGGCCCAACGGCCTGTTAAAGTAGAAGGCCAAAGCCGCTTGTGGCATTATCCGTTTCGGGTGCTGAGTTCATGAAGCAAGAACACGTTGTAGCTGTTGGAACTTTGAAACGACACCTCAATCTTTCGTTGCAGCTTGGCCGACCTATAATACGCGCTATATAGATGGGCAAGAGCTGACAACAGGTCGAGGGTTCTCACTCGCGTGGGCACGTCCACGCTGGCCAATCATGGCATACTCCTTCACCGGGGGATGGCAGCCCTACTTGGGGTCACGTCATCCTCGGCCGGCCCTGTATGAGGTTGGAGTGCGTTCAGACTGCTAGGGTGCTTTTTTTCTAGGGTCTGAATTGGAGCTCTGTTTGCCAAGAGGAGATCTTCCACCATCCAGGATCACAAACGTTGTGGGTAGATCTTTGACAAATCATAAAAAAGCCCGACGGCCTTGACGCACAAATAGCCAATCAAAGTCTTCCCTCAACTTGATCTCACCCCCGGGGAAGAAGGGAGGTTCGTCGCGTCTCTTCTTACCTCACCTACTGTAGCAAGATAGTAAAGCCTGCGTAATATATTCAGTCACGAAGAATGCTGTAATTATCCATGGTGGTAGTTGTAGCTGTGCGAAATCGTCGACCAATGTTAGAGTCCTGTCTATCTGTGTAGAATACAACTGGTTTCTCTCATTCGTGGTGGAATGGTTCGCGCGTCTTTGACCGTCCCCGGATTTCGGTATATATACTCCAAGCCCTCCCTATTTTGAGATATCTATGCTAGAGTACATGCAATGCTAGACCGGCACCAATGCTACCGTTGAACCTAAGTTGAACCCAAACGCCGTGTCCCCCTGATTTCCCCTTGTGCTTCAACCCGTAATGCTTTTGAAGGTAATCGGATACATGCTCCTATGCAAAATGTAATACAGCGTCCTAGTCGCCGAGAAGAAGCGAAATTTTTGATAGTACATAGACTTCCACTGATAGTCGAGCGCCCAGCACTGCCATATCAGAATGGACAATTTCCATTGCTGCCAGAGTCTTCCCAAAATGATTATGCACTATGCACGACAACTGAGTCAAAGTAGTTTCCTCCTATTCCATAGGATAATTATCTTGCTGCTGTTAATCGCACTGGAAATACCCATGTTTAATCAGTTGTGCGCTCGCGAGGCGCCGAAGATGGTGGCGGCGGCGGCGGTGGAGGCGGTTGAGCTCCACGCCCTCTTTCCTCGGAGGTTGCCCGTGGGCGCTGTTCACCCTCGGAGGGTTGCCCTGAGGGCCGCACATCTGATGAATATCGAGAAGGTTGATCTGATAACATGGACGAGACTGAGTGACTACTCCGTGGCTGTTGATATGACTCGGCGAAGGTAGTTTCTCTAGTCGTACCTACTACTGGAGTTCCAACACCAGGAGAGAAGCCTCCATGTGGACCATAGGGCTCACCACGATTGCGAGCCGTTGATAAATATGCCGAAATATCACTTCTCTGACGTGAATGGCCTCTTCTACGGCCCGGCGGCGGATTCGATAATACAGATGTGTTGGTTTGTTGTGCGAAAGTCGGAGATCTAGATCGGCGCTGGTTCGGCGGGGGAGCGGCATGCTGCGGTCCAGTTGCCTTTCTTTTCTTAGGGGAATCTGCTGAGTTTACCAAGAGCAGCATTAGCTAGATGACCATGGTCTGTACTTTCTTCCCGTTTTTGAGGTGAACGAACCGGACGCAGTCTGCTGGCTAGACCCCGCGCTAGATGCTGGTGGTTGCCAGTGATGGAAAGAGAGCGGTTGGGCTGGTGGTTCTTGCTGTGGTGCAGCGCCAGGCTGTTGCGATATATGAGAGGGACCACCAATTGGGTCGCCCGTACTCAACCGTGGTAGTGCTGAGCTCCCCAAGGCCCCTAACGGGCGAGCACCTCCTGCGCTACCGAGACCACCGATCGTATGCGCCCTGGATCTTCCTGGTGAGCCCGGAGCTTGATAAAGGAAACCGGCTTGCGGCCCAACCGCAGAGCCAGGGGTCGGTGGAACGCCAGCAGACCCTGCGTAGCCGTACTGCTGGGAATCCCTTCTATGCTCCGGGGATATCGGCCCTTGAGGTGCTAAGATCTGAGCATGATGTAATTGCTGCGCCGGGGATAAAAATTGCTGCAAATATTCTACCGTAGCCTGAGGCATGCCGCCACTCATACCTGCGAAGATTATGGGCACCATCGGAGGTGGCACACCACGTTCAATCGATGTGCAAAGCATTTCGTGCTCGATTTTTCTCTGCTCCAGACGCAAACTCTCCTGACGTGTCTTTTCCTCTTCCTGCATCCTTTTTTCTTCTTCACTCTTCGCCAAGAGCCAATTCCTCATCGATTCCTCAGAACCTTGCCATTGGGGTGGCGGAGGCAACGGGCCGAAACTGTGAATATGCTGAGACGGAGCTGGAGGTCCTTGAGCCTGCATTACTGAACTAGGAGTTGGTGGATGAGGAAGGCCATGCGCTTGGGGAGGACCATGCGGTTGAGGGGGGCCATGTGGTGGAGGAGGACCATGGGTTGGCGGTGGTTGAGGTAATGTCATGGCCGCCGGCGGTGGCAGAGCACGGTGAGGTCCTGACATGACCTTGGTAGGAGGGCTTTGATGCTGTTGCTGAAGAGCCTTTTGCGAAATGTCCAGGTTGGTCAAGGGGGGCGAGGATCGAGGTGGTGTCGGTAAGTCATGGACTGGCCTGTAGCCGTAAGGAATGGGCTGGTTCATGGTGAGCATCATCTCGAAGAAACAGGAAGAAGACGCAAGCTAGGAGGTTGGACGGGACGACATTCTGCTATTTTCCGGGAGCAGGGACGAGCAAAGATAGAGAAATACAGAGCACGTGGGGGGAGAGCAGTGATAACAACCTTTGCATAAGAAAGCTGGAGAGGACGGCCAGCTTAGTAGTGGGAAGGAAGCAGTCGGGGGCTTATGATATAGTTGGGTCACTAAGACCAGCCTCATCTGGAGATCGGTGCCACACGCATGGGCACAAGTGAACTAATTTAAGGGAAGCATTAGCTGATGGACGATGCCGGCGATGGAGATCGTTGGGGTGGTATCTGGGCTTTCCAAGGTGGATAGGCGCTGGCGCGGCAGCGTGGTCGAGAACCCGCCCGTCCATGCCAGGATATGGAATAGCTACGTAAGGTAAAGGTAGGCAGGTAAAGAGAGGGAGGGAGGGGGGGGGGCTGAAGAGATTAGGTAGGCAGATAGGTAGACAGACAGACAGACAGACAGACAAGGAAGCGAGAGTGGGTTGCTGAGAGAGAGCTAGTGGTAGCACGGGTAGCACGATGTAGGATGGAGGTAGGATGTAGTAGTCCAGGTAGGTCGTATGTAGGTGCGCAACGGGAGAGGCAAGTCAGATAGGTAGACAATGCTGCCCTTCCCGCAACGGAGCAGTACCTAGTCCTGCTACTAGGTAGGTACTACTTGGTATGCATGTACTGGATGTACTGAATGTAGTAATAGAGTAATCATGTACTTGGATAGGTAGGTAGGTAGGTAGTGTAGTGTAGGTAGTAGATCTTGGAAGAGAAAATGGCACGGCAAATGGACCTCTGGCTGGGTGTAGATCCTGTCACTTGCAGCCGATTTAGGCAATGCCCAATATGGAAAGTAGGTAGGGGGGGAAAAAACGTTCTCGAATGGAGATGTGGAGTCGCGAATGGCTAGCCTTTTGATTGGAAGCAGTGCAGCCGACGGACAAGCTGGCACCAGAGCCGCAGATGATCAGATCAGTTAAGATGACCAAGAGGGAAATGTGCGACGGGCCCTTGGTAGTAAGAGTGCGGTGAGACATGCAGCAAATGTGTGCGGGTATCTCTTGACTGAGATGGGTGGAGGGATGGATGGAGGATGGATGGGGTGCTGAACGTACGTCCGAATACAGAGGGCGAGAGAAGAGATACCTACCTACCTAGCCGGTCTCTGCCACGACAGTCATTGGGAAGAGAGTCAAAGCACCGAGTTGCCAGTCAGAGTCTGTGAAGGCATAACGGGGGAGAAGGAAGAAAAAAAAACAAATAACACAAGAGAAGACACGGGCGGAAATGGGCCGGCATCTGACGTGTAGGCCAGAATATCATGTACACTAAGAGACTGTCATACTGTACGAAGTATGGCAGAATGTCCGAGGCCAGACGAGAGAGGGCCACGAGCTGTGGCTTGACAGCACTAGGGAGAATAAAGATGAGATGCTGTACCTACCTCCCTACCACTCAGCGTGGAGGCCCGTACCCAGCAAGTACGTACATGTACGTATCTGCTGTAACTCGTAGGCACATGTTTCGAAAGGCAAGACGTGCCGGATGAGGGGACAGGGTATGTACGGTAGTCAATCAAGGTGGTGTGTGTGTATAGTGAAATGGGTTGGTGGTGGTGGAGGACGACGAGGACGAGGAGGAGGGGAATCTGCTCTCGCCCACCCCGTCCACCCCCCCCTGCCATGACAAGGCTGGAAGTGGTTAACCCGTCGAGGACTAGGTGAGGTTGATCTAACAAGCAATCATCCCTGGCGGGTTCCCATGCTGTTGTTGATGTTGCTGGCCAGGGGTCCGGGGTTGACGGGACACGACCGGGGTGTGTGGGTGGCCCGACTCTGTCTGGGTTGGCGTGTCTGAGGTCAGTCTTAGTAGGTATCTATCGTTCCTCTGGCCCCGTGGGTCCCCTTTTTTTTTCTCAGAGGCTAGCTGCCCCGTCGCCTAGGTAGGTATTCTCGGCGGCGAAATTGTGCACACTGCAAGCTCCGCAGTCAGAGGAGATATGTAAGTAAGTACTTAGAGGCGCGAGCTGACTCGACTGGGGATAGGTACAGGGCCGATCCCTCGCAGCAAAGAGCGAAAGATATATTGAAGGACTGACACTGGTGTGTTGCAAGCACAAGGGGCGAGTCAAACTGGACTGACTACATGTACTTACTTACATGTCGAGAGCGGGGGTGAGGATCGAGAGGGCGTGAGACTACGTGTAACTACTCAGAGGTAGGTAAGTACTGTCGAGGCGGCTCCTTTTAGCGCCGCTGGGTCCTAACTAACTAGTAGGTAGCTAGGCAGCTCTTTGAAGCTTCCTTGAAGGTAAGTCAAATACATCCGTCAGTCATAATACCTAGTCAAGGCCTCCAGAGGCTCGTGTGTGTGGATGAAGACAGGGTCACTACCGTGTAGTTCTTGGGTGTTGGAAAGAAAACTTGCTCCGCTGCGGGATACAAGGGCCCGAGCTGAGGGGATATTGTAGGAAGGACTGGGGGCTGGGATTTGTGCGATAGAAGTGCATGATAAAGAATCATGATGGCCTGGGGCTCCTTGGCTCTTTTTTTTTTTTTTTTTTTTTCCCTTGTAATGCTGGTTTTCTACTTATGAAACAACATTTAAACGGTCTCGGGAACAACCAGTCTATCGATATAGAGAGCATTGAGACAATACCTGGACTTTTGTTGTTGTTCAAGTTCGAATGGTTGCAGCCTATGAATTTGCGTACCGTCGTTGTTAATAGCTACTGGCCAAGTTTTCGAGACACGGAAATCCGTCGCTAAACACGACGAGACAAGACGGCAATGTCTCATGCATGCTGCTGGTTGGAGAAGCGTCGTATGGTAGAAGTAGAAGCTGGGCTTGACGCGAGGTCTGGAGTAGGTAGTATACAGTACCTAGTCTAGGTAAGTAAGTATGGCAGAGAGCATCTAGAACGAGAACGCTCGCGCAAGCGGCCTTAGCTGACCAGGCAAGGACTTGCTTAGGGACTTGCTTGGGAGAGGTGGTGATGCGGGCGAGGTGGCTGAGTCATGAGAGGATACGGTACCCTCGCTACCTACTTAAGTAGCCGGTACCTACAGTAGGCACCGAGTCCGTACCTAGGCTAATTACCACATTCTCACAGTATTAATCAAACCGTGCTGAAACTACCAACTCCCGCTGGCTGACGTGTTGTGTAATAGGTAATTAAGGTATAGATACATACCAATTCTGTACCTAGGCATACTTTGCTACAGCTATTGGCCATCTCGTGTGGCTGTGGCCAGGTGAGTAAGGTAGGTAGTTGTAGACATAGGCAAGTACCTACTTAGGCATATGATTTCTTTGTTGTGAAGACATTGAGGTGATATAATATCTCTGTACTATCGGTAGGTGTAGACCATGTACCATATATACTTATTGTGAAAGGAAAGAAACAAAAGCTACTAGAACACCCCGAATCTTCCTGCGCTGTCGTCAATGCTGCTACATACTAGGCCACGATATCCATATGTTACTACAGTACAGTACCTATGTTACTACTATGATGTGGTACAGGGCGCTTGCTCGGTAACCGTTGAATTTTGCTCTTTTGCTACCCCGCCAGCTAGCTGTTGGGTGCGAGGTGGAGCTCCTCTCTTCTCACTTGTAGTAGGTATTTTTTTGCCGTGACGAATGGGATGTGGCTGGAGGTAGTTGAAAGTATTATTGGTTGCTTAAATCCAATATCTTCCTACATACTACCTACTCCATGAGATCGGATCTATGAGATCTGCCTTATGGATACTAGGCGTGATATGGAAGGTACTGTGTAAGTAAGTATGTACGTAGGTACAGCAGGCTAGATATCTACACATGGAGGATGCTTGTTCGTCTAATCGCACCATGAGCTTATCTACCTAAGTAATTGCTGTAGGTAAGATACAGTAGTGTGCCAGTGCGCCGTGATGACATGTCGAGCGAGAAGACTTGACAGATGTCGAGAGGGTAGCGTAGGAGTAGCAATTTCTTGGTGTAGTGAGTGAGTGAGTGGTCGAGTGGTCGGTCGGTCGGTCGGATAGATCTATCGGTAGGTACAGTTGGTAAGTAGTGTTGTAGTGTCGAGGAGGCGATACTACCAAGCAGGCAACATCGCCCTCGCCTCGTGACAGCTCGTCCAGTCAGTCCGTCCGTCGCATTGCATTGACCAACCGTGTGTGCACCGGGCTCTTGGTTTGAGAGGAGGCTCGGGACCGATATGGTACTTGGACATCTCCTGTCATGTATCTACTGTAGGTACGATGATCACGTCTGTAGGTCTGTCTTCCTCATTATTACCAGGCGACAGGCTTGCCGGCCTCCACCACGCTGCCGGTTCTTGCGTGGTCGATGGCAATGGATGATTGATCTTGTGCACAACACAACACACAACGCACAACGCACAACGCACAACGCACAGCGCGTGTGCGACTGGTCGGATCCGGATTAGGCAAGTCGGCCCCTGTCAGGTTCGGTCGTTTCGACTAGACCCCCCAGCCAAGAACCATGTGGGAAGGCCGGGTTGTTAAAATTGGCGTTTCGAATCAAGGACCACGGCAGGTCTACTTACACTACCTACCTATCAACCACCGACCACATCACATCACTTGCAGCAGCTTGCTATTACCGTCATCTCACGCACAACGTACCTACTGACACTTGTGATTACATGTCGTTCTGTTTGCTGTTGCAACGTGAGGCACCGCGTTGTTGTTGTTGGCCATTACCACGAGTGTTCTTGTAGTTACTTAAGGCACCTCTGAACAAGCGGGGCTTTCCCAATAATCCTTGATTTGCCCAGGTCACACTCAGCCACAGACATCCTGTAGCTCCCCGGAAAGGCTAGCTAGGTGGTGCGTCAAATATATGTACTATGTAATGTAATGTAACGAGACAGTCTCCCAAAGCGGGCATGCTGGGTTCATTATATTTACCTTTGTTGAGAACTCCGATAAGACATGAGATTTAATGTTTTCGCTACCTAAGTACTGTAAGCTATGATGGACAAGTGGATCAAAGCTGCATGGAGGTAGGTGGTGTTACTTACTTGGCCGAGTTCCTTGTGAGTAACATAATGGGGCAGAGATGTATAGTAGGTATTATGTTACAGCGATATCAATTCTTCTAGCATTTTCATAACACGGGGGAAGTGGTAACATGGTAGCCACCGAATACGCATATTCTGAACCACTAGCCGTCACCTCATTCCCTATTTGTGAATCTAGCTAATGTATGAAGGCAACTAAGCAGTGGTCTCTACTGAGACTGGCTTCCTTTTTTGGCCCAGCAGATATCGCTATTGTGAATCTAATTTGCAGTAACATTCGGCGATTCAAAGTGAACCTGGGTGGGCTGACTATTGGATGCGACTCTGAATGTCCACCTTGTGATGATATTTTCCAATATGAGAAGTATACGTTTGGTTTAGTATGCTACTACTGTATAGCAGCCTAGCGAATTCTACGCAATCCTACGTACGTACCTATGCA